TTAAGAATAAAGAATGTTGTGCTCAATAGAAGAAAGAAACTCATACAGCTTTGGAACAACTTGAGGGTGAGTACTTTTATTTTTTGGGTGAACTGTCCCTTTAAGTATATTAGTTTGTTTGTTAAAACTGTGTAGTCCAAATTAATGGAAATTTTATATGCAATTAAAATACATAATTTTAAATATTAGGCCTAAATTGCTTGGTGTGAGTAACTGAGCGTAGTAAAAACAATATGGGTTTTTAAAAATCTTAATGTTTTCTCTGTTTGAAAGTGATTTCTTTCACCACTGAGCATAAAATCTTTTTTTTCTCTGTTTAAATACCGTATTTCATAGCCATGAAGAGCTTTTAAACGTGTTAAGCTGTTACATAAACAAAGCATTTAAGTATAAACACATGTCTCATGGGGTCAGAGACTGTGTTGACGGTGGTGCTGATTATTTCCATATAAATCATTATGAATACAACTTCAAGCATTCAAAATATGCGCATGTTCTAAGCTGACACTCGCAAAACTTGCTGATATAAGACGTTTTAGTAATTTGCACGTTATCCCTAAATCAAGGTTTCCTCTACAGTTAAAGATCAACTAATAATTCCAGCCGCTGGAAACTAACAGTTTAGATTCTTCTTGATATCTAGTGATGACAGATCGCCTGAACTTGGCCAACAAACTTTGTTAGCTTTGCTGTGACCATATAAGGACCCTTGCTCAAGCAGAGCCTGCGCAGCACAGATCTGCCTGTAAAATTCAGCTAAAGAAAAACAACTTTGCCAGTGAACATTTATCAAAACAACAGGCCAATCTGAACTCCGCGGGTGGCCACTAAGACATGTTGTCATTATGCAAGAATCCAACTCAACGTTCGTTTACAACATTGCCCAAGTGTCCGGCAAAGACAGTTAACCGTCGTTATTTAACTGTATAAGAGAACTACATTTATAAAAAACCTCAAGTTTTAACAATATAGGCCCAGCTTTGTGGTTACAATTATCATGCACATGTAAACTCAAATGAACATTAAACCCACTTTTGTCTAAGAACAAAACTTTCAAGATGCCTACATGTAACAAACTCAAGAAAACTTGAAATGAGCTGCTTAAGCCAGCCTAAGATGAGTTCCTGGTTGAATCTGATCCAAGCTGGTGTTTATCTGATAAACCAGTTGGCATCCTAGTTTGACCAGCTAAAGAAAGTGCCTAAAGACCAGAAAACCAGCAGGGTCCTTTGAAAGTGCATTTGTGTGTTTCGTTATAAAACTCAAACAATAAAACAAATTGGAGAAAGAGCCATAATGAAAGAACAGAAAGCAATGGATATTCATCCTCGTCACCAGGTACTATAAACTGCGTTATTGTTGAATCTTCATCAGTGGTCTCACCTCGAGCAGCTGGATTGGATGTTGAGGGTCTTGAGCGCTCTGGCTGAGTCTGAATCCCCAGGGCGCACCGCCGCGCAGCGTCACACACGCAAACTCGCCCGTGCCCATCCTCCTGCGGCTGTCCTCCAGTCTGAGAGAAGTCAAGCTTCTTCTGCGATATCTGAGGCTGCCTTCGGTGGGTGTAAAGCCACAACAGCTGGAGTCCGGCCCTCTTTTCGGCGTCATTCTTCAGAGACCATCCTGAGGAGAGTAACTGTTCTTTACTCAGGTTTAACCCTCAAGCATCCTTTGGGACAAATTTGGGCAAAATTATTTTATTTAAAAAAAAAAAATAGTTTCCTTAATCTGAGGTGTACAAGACGTGGCTACTTTTCCTAAGTTTGCCACCTGAACACACACACACACACACACACA